CGAGGCGAGCTCGAAACTCGATGACTGGACTGTGGACATTTCTATGCATCTTTTTCATCTTTAAACATTATTTCAATGCAATGTTAGATGCATTTGCCTCGGTGAAAACTTGGAGAAATTGAGGTTAAAGTGGAGATGTCATTGAACATTTAAGAAATCTTGTTAAGGAAATTTCAAGATCAATTTCATTTGACCGAGTTCGATTTAAATTCTCTATTCTCTATAAGAGAAACACTTTCATTTGCATCGAAGATGTCGCGATCGAGATTGGCGTGGCTATCATTTATACTTGCCGAGGTTGACCTTTAGTTTTTCAACGGTAGAGGCTAACGTGATTACGCGACCTAAAGCTGACGGGTGTAGCATAATGTAGATAGGGGTTGGATAATAAACTCGCCGGGCGATAAATTATTTAGTCAACATTCGAGCAAATTGCCGCGGGACATAAAATTGCGGCCGTTATCGTAATTCGCGATCGCGAGGAGCGTAGTCGCGGGATAAACGGGTCTGAGTGGAAAGCGATTTCATAGAAGCATCCCCTAGTTCGATTGAGGGTATCTAATGACATTCGATGAGTTGATCCGAGAGCGCGTGCACGCATGGAAAGTAAGTAGCTGTTTGTTGAAGCAGCTGCTCGAGTAGTTTCTAGTACCCTTTGAGGAAGCTTCCTGGCATTTTAATGGTAAACAGGGCTAGTTGGCAAGTATCGAAGACGGTCTAAGATGGGGCTCGAGTACGGCGATCAAAGGTGATCGAGGAAACTTCGAGGAAACTTCGAGAAACACTGTAAATAAGCCTTGAATTTTTTAACAGACCTTTCCATTTCTAATAGGTACCGATCCTAGACAGTTGGACAGATAATTTCTCTCTAATTCTTTTCCACGATCTAATGTAGTTTAATAACGAAACATCGCCGAAAGCTCTCTAGAGAAATAGATAAAAAATGGCTAAAGGAAGTTTGAGATGAACGATTAATGGTGACCAAAGCGGTTTCACAGGAACAGTAAGAAACGATGATAACGGTTCAAGGATGATGTCGGGAAATGGTCGAATAGGTACGAACAGGATGTTCAAAGATGAGCAAAGGGGGTTTGAGATGAATGGTCAACGATGGCTAAAAGGGTTCGACGTTAATGGTCAAAGATGGGTCTTGGGGGTTCAAGGATGGTAATCAAAGGGACGCAGAGAGCCGCGAGAAAGAGGGTGGGGGGTTAACGAAGAGCGAGCTGTCGAGCTATCCAAGGGGTTGAAAGTAATCAAAGACGACCAAGGACACGGGGCACGGCCAAAGGGAATCTCCTGAAAGAGTTCTCCGTCTTGCACGGAGGCTCGACGAAGAATCAACATTTTCGACTTCGACGGGGCTCCGTTTGTTCGGTTCGAGCGACGACAAAGGCAACCCCCGCTATTTATTCATTGACAGGATCGATCAACGAAATCGATTCGGTTCCGTTCCTGTTTCGCCGAACAACTCTCCGCTAATCATTGATCTCCCTTGGGTATAGCTGTCGCGATGATTATGTACTACCTAGACGTTATCGTTGCAGTGTTTACAATAATTTAAATACAACCGCGTGCAACTTTTATTCGTTGTCCTTGCAATGAACGTTCGATGATTCGCCGCGATCCTTTTAAGCAAACATTCAATCCGAAAAGATAACCGAACCTTACATAAAATCCTAGAAACGATCCAACGACGAAAACCAAATACGAATCCCAGCTGATCTACCTTCTCGAATAACAGGTCAACTCTGAACTCGGCACTCGAGAAAATTCCTCGATATCCGATCATTCTTCGCTTGACAAACATAAAAGCAAATTGCACCGAGAAAGGCCGCGGTTGTGCCGGATACACCTGTACGGGAATGAACGTTCCCGACTTAGATAAATAATTGCGTCACCTGTGGACGCGGCCGGAGTGACGCGGCAGGCCAAGTATCGAGGTGTTCAACGTCGGCCCTCGTAAACGGGTCGGGCTGGTTTTATAGATTCGTAATTCTCCGGTTTAATGACGATGCAGCCGGGGGTAGGCGGAGCCAATCGACGGGAGCACGTGGCGCGCGTGGGACCTTGCCTCGAGGCGAGAGGAGCCCCGGCGTGCCGCAGTTACCTTTCGACCTGTCAACAATAGACGTTCCGCGTCGCTCGCGAACGACGCCGCTTTCTTTCAGTCCGTCCGGGAAAAGCGTAGCGCGACCGTCGAACGAGACGCCGCGGCGCGCCATTCCGTCCCCGCGTCGCGACAACCATCGTGACCGACACACTGGAGAACGCGCTGTGTGACTAGTGGGTGATTTTTTTCATTGGATAAATCGCGATCGGTTCTAACCAGGATTGACAGCAATGAAGCAGTGTTCCGACAAGTGCGAGGAAAAGTCGCGACCAGTGACTTTTCGAATCGCTCGACGAAGCGAGAGCCAGTGACAGTGTGTCCGGCGTTTCGGTTCCTCGCGATGTTTCGCTAGTGACCCGTGATACGTAGCGTTTCTGGATGGATCGGATGGCGGATATTTTTCGAATTTTACAGATGTTTCGAAAACTTTGCTGTTCCGGATAGACGGGATAGATGCGATACTATCCACTACTCGAAAGAACTTACGGATCTAACGGTTGAAAAGGTCCATTAAGAAAAATAGCCGCAGTCTAATTGATATCCATTTGACTTGCTTAGCATTGACGCGTTAATCAATCGCGCTTGCAAACGGAAGGAAGATGCTCTGCTCTGGAAGGAGCTCTAACCGAAAGCTCGTATCACGGTTCCTTTCTCGGTGCGACTTCTGGCGGTAGCGTTCGTGGCGATCGTATCCGCGAAACGGCGGCCAGTTTCCTCGAAATGTTGCTCGCCGCGCGTTGTGTCGTGTGCCGTATCGATTACCATATCTCAACTACCTGAAACGACGGAGGCGTAAACATTGGTTTAACGTTGCCTTCCCCCTGCGATAGCTCCTCGTATCTCGGTTGGCGGGCCCGTGAACTCCGTTCATCCCCCTTACTCTTCGGTTGAAATAGACGCGGGCCTCGCCCGGAATTCATGGCCCAAACGGAATAGAGATGATCTCGCGCCTCGGAACGAGTCGACGTTGCCGTCGTAAACATTTATTCTTCTGTTCAGGTATTCATGCCCGGGCTGATCCCCCGCGAAAATGAAACCTACTGGCGAAACGAATTTCTCGGGACGTTTCGTTGCCTCGTTCCGAGGCGAATGGCGTTTCTTTCTTGATAGACGCGTTCCCCGTATTCGATTGGATCATAAATAATTTCCTTGGTTCCTTCCTTCGTTCTCTTCCTGCCTTTCGTCTCTTCGTTAATCTTAAATATCGACGGTTTTACTGTAATTGATTTGCAAGTAATAAAACGAACAGTAAAACGTCTATTATCTGTTGTACTTTCGAGTAACGAAACGTTGAAGATTTTACGCAGCAGTGAATTATTTGATAAAACTCCCTGTCGATATCAATGTCTGCAGTCTATCTGTAATCGTTACGGGCGACTCGCGCGAAAACAGTCATCCGCGAATATCTGCAAAAACTCGATAGCAATTAATTGGACGTTCGTGGTACGGGTGTCCGTTTAATATTTACAGTATCGCGTTTCCGGCGCCACGGAACCGGCGGCTCGCTATTGCGTCCAGTTATTTCCAACTGCGGAAGACCACGGGTCTTTGAGTTACGGCTGCGTTCTCGGGCCAAAGTCGCCCGTTTGGGGTGGATCGAGCGACGCTGCCCGATCCACGGACGAATTCGTCGGGACCATTAATTAAATTCTCGGGATTCGAGGTCGCGACGATTCTCCGCTGGCTTCCACGAAAATACGAGACCGATATTCCTTCCATTTTTAGCGATACTCACGATCAGACTGGTTTGTCTCATGCGCGTGTGGTTACCGATGCCATTGAAATAGTCAAGTTCGATTACTCCATTAATCCGTACAGTCGTTTAAACGATTAACCAAACGGTGGAACACTTTAAAGACAAACTAATTTGTTCTTCGCGTAACTGGATTACTTGTCACGCTTCCCTGTTTGCAGAACGGATCGCTTTACCGAACGATTGGCTCGAATATCTCGCGACATAACGGTACACTAGCAGCAAGCGTATCGGAGGAAGGAAAGGAAGGAAATAAAAGGAAGGAGCGGTTCAGGTGGTTGAGTTAGGTGAGGTACGAACGCAACGTACGCGACAGCGTGAAGTTTCTATCGAACGGGTCTGCCGCGCGGCTGAAATCGATGGGGCAGCGCCGTACCGCAGCACCGTGACGCGATGAAAACCGTCGAACCGTTCGGCCGAACCTCGAATAAAACCCGATGAATGCCGCGGACCCGTTCCCGACTGCCCGTAAATGATTTCCTCGCGATTCCGCTCCGGAAGCTCGCGTACGAAGTCGGTCGCGCGATCCGGCCGTAATTCGCCGCCTCCGTTTTTCATTAATTTCGAATTTCCGCGATGACTGCGAGGGCCGCGAATTAAAGAGATGAAAACTGCTGCACGATCGAGCGATTGCTTGTTCACCCGGGCTACCGTTGCGAGCCTTGCGAGCTTCGCGACGATTCTATCGTCGGCTCGATTGCTGGGATTCTCGAGGATTCCTCGAGAAGCTTCACGGGCTGTTTTCTTTCGAGATATCGATAATGGTGGACTTTCTTTTTCGAGAAAGGGAACGACGCTCTTTTGTTATCGTGTTCGGTGATAAGGAGCCCATTATAATCTCCGAACTTCCGACCTTTTCTGTCAAACGAATGGAACGGCTCAGCGATTGGCTTATGATCCTCGTTCGGAGACTATTTATAATACTAATTGTTTTACCGGTATTCTTGTCGTTTGAATGCGATTCATATTCCGTAGCGGGAATTGTTGCATTTGACGCTGTCCTTTCGAAGTTAAATGTTATGTCCTCCCGCGGACAGTTTAATCGGCCGCCGGGAGAGTTTTACGGTTATCGTCTATTTAAGAGTGTCCCCGCTCACGTTATGGATCATTGATTGTCAATCACGCATTTCTTACCTACTCGGCTGTCTAATCAGGAAGTTGGAGGCGGTCGGGACCGCTTCAGTGGCTTTGTCACTTGCGGCTCCTACACGTTGCATGGGCGAATCCCATTTAAACAATGAATTTGCGTTACTGTTTAACGAAACCGTGTTACGTAAATGCCTGGAACAGAATTATTTTTTTATGTATTTCATAAATAATAATATATAGAGCAGAGTGGGTCTCCAGAAAAATAGACCAAAGAGGTCGAATAACATTTTTCGTTGAAAAATCTCCAACTCCGAGGTAATCGACTTTGGAAGTTCGTGCGACAGGTGCAGAAAGTAGAAATAGAAACTCATAAACAGACCTATTAACAACGTGGAAACGCCATTACCTAAGATTCCGCGATTGCTCGAGTTAGAAGGAAACTTCCACTTTATTTCTACTTGTTGTTCGTAAAATCATCCCCTCTCAGTTCGAGCCCAATTTCACCGTATCTCGAAAACACTTCCTTTTACGCCTACGATTCAGATCAGCCACCGAACCGCGCGATAAAAAGGCTCCGACCTGCTTCATTTCCAACATTATCATATAGCCAGAAGAGAGCGAAGCAAACAGCCAGGAAATCTTTTCGCGGAAATCCTCTGACGCTCCCCGCGGGCGAGCCTAAAGTGGCACAATGGTCGATGCCGCAATAAAGCTTATCTCTTATCAGAAAAAGGTAACGCTCCGCGACGCCGGTGCTCGTAAACGCATGGTACTCGTAAACGCGCGGTACTCGTTCGAAGTGCAAAAAGGGGGCCAGGGAAAATGCGAGAGGAAGAGACGGGGAACGGGGCAGCAGTACAATTCCGAACGCGTCCGAGACACTCGCCGCGGTGCAAATCGGTTCGCGCATAAATCAATCGCAGCCGTCGCGGGCAAGCGTTTCCAATTTTCACGATGCTCGGACGCAGAAGGGAGCGAAGCACGGCCGGGAGGGGGGCGCCACGTTCTCCGACTCCTTGGCGAAAACGAAGAATGCTAAATTAACGGGACACATCGAGGACGTTTCTCGGCGCACTCGAGCGCGACCCCTGGCAAGAAGCTGGAACCGAGCGAAATTATTATCCGAACGAAAAGAACCTTGAACGTTGAATGGGAAACGAAAATTAAGGACTCGAGGGGTTTCACGTTGAAATCGTTATTCATTTCTCTGGAGAAGCTCGGCTGGTTTTTTCGGAAAATTGAGACGTCGCGTGGACGTCGAGGGAAATAAGTTTGAGAAAAGGGTGGAATTCTCTGTATTATTGTTGCCGTGAAATTGTACGTTGACGAGATCCGCGGGGATACTTGGGAAACTCGTTGCACACCAGGAAAGTGATTTTAAATGCAATTCTATCTCGAATCAAAACGGTGGCGTTGCGGTGGGGTTATATTATATAGAAGCGATTAAACTCCGGAAACCATAAGAGTATAAAATGTGGCAGAAACGACTGCACACTGGGAGGAACCGAATGAATTCTCGCCAGGGGTACTAACTCCTCCATGGTCCCGGGCACGTCGGAACGAGTAAAAATACGCATTGCGTACTCGTCTGGTTGGGAACTGAACGTCATCCCCTTTTCTGACTCGAAGCAAGACTACCCCCGTCATTTTTAGACGAACCCCGCGCGCTGTCAGTCTTTGGACGCGCGAGCGCGTGTTCGCGACGCCTGCTCGGTATTGTCGTGCGGAATCTAGCCGCGCCGAGATTCGCCCGTCGAACCTTTCCAAACTCCGTTAATGGTCGAAAATATACATATACGAATAGGAAAATACGAACTCTCCGATATAAGAATATTTGAAAAGATTAACCGTGTACAACGTGTTAACCGTAGAAAATATAAGCCGAGAGAAGGTCGGTTCTCCGTAAAATCAATCGTCTACAGGCTGATCAGCGCCCAACAGTTCCGCAGCTTCGAACATTGAAAGATCTACCGGCCATCTAGCCTCGCGTCAACGTCGACGGTAGTTCCGCCTCGGCGGTGATTCGCGACGAACGGATGCAGTGGCCGGGAAGGGCAGGGTGGTGTCGCGAGTGAGGGTGCAGAAAGAGAGCGGTGCGAGCGGTGCGAGCGGTGCGAGCGGTCCGCGAAGAGTGTTCGAAGGGGATGCCCGGCGACCTTGCTCGACGGTGGTCTCGCGGGCTATTTTAAAAGGGGGACAAGGCCGCTTATGGAGCGGGCTGGCTCTCGGTTCCTGCGGCCGGGAACGAAACGAGCGGACGGTCGATCGGCGAGCAGCACCGGCTCAAAATAGAGAGGCACGGCCCCACCGATAGCTGACGCGACACCGGACACGGAACCAGCGACCGGCTCGCAGGGATACGCCGAGGTATTATGAACCTGGAATGGTCATCATCGAATCCTCTGTTGCCCGTGGACATTGAGGTATGGCCGCGGTAGCCGGCATCTATGGCTTCTCAGAGGAACGACACGCCAGATATTCCGAGCATCGGCAGCATCCGTGAGTTTCACGTGAAAGACGACCGAATTAATCGATTTGATAACCCCCCTCGGCTACGGCCGATACGAGTAGGCTTCGCTTCGCATCTTTCGGTTGACGGTTATCGCCGTCGAACGATCGGGAATTTTGGAAAAGGAATCGCGGTGCGTCTCGTCGCTTTTGTGAATGTCCCTAGATGTTGGGTTTTCATCTGTTTCCGATGTAGAGCTTCGAGACCGTTCCCGTCGACCCGTTCGCACTCGATTATTTACCTACTCTGCGCGCCAGGATGTTCTCTTCCGGTGCCCGTACATATCTGACGGGGCGGATCTCATCGACGGCGAACGTGTCGACGTTTCGTTTAAGGTTGTTACGTAACCTTCGAAGCATCGATGCTGTAACAGACGACCAGTTTTACACCGGCGAACTTGTTCATTAAACTGTCCGACATTAACGAAAGTTACAATGAAGATCGGTTCAAGGCTCATTTGCCGAAAAATTAAGTAAAGGCATTCGCGTGAATAGCTCGGTGTAGAGATTACTTGGTTCAAAGGGCTTCACACGGAGTCAAAGGAATCGATCAGGGAGATTGAACCTTGAACCGAATCGCTCGGGAGAAATCTGGATCGTTTGTTTAAAGAAGTAAGCGATTCAACGAAACACGTTAATTCGCCCGATTTATTTTCTATTAAAAAACGCTCGAGAACAAACGTGATCGGCCAGAAAGAATCTCTCGGGGATTTTCTAGCCGCTTTCGCGTCGCTCGACGCTTTCAGCTATTTTCCGGCCGCGCAAGAAACATGGCAAACGGAAAAATAAGAACACGCCGGAAAAGAAGCGAACGAAAATAGAATGAAAAATGCCGCTCGCTTATTCGACGTTTTCCGTCGACGCCGGAATCGCACGTGAGAGAAACGTTTCCCGGTGAACGTGCCACGCAACTTTCGTTTCAAAGTTGTCCACGCGGTGTTCGTTGGGAACTTTGCGACTCAATAATGTAGATCTATGCATCGCTCGGTCGAAGGACACGCGGTTCGCGTTACTTGCCAGTGCGACCGATCCTTTGTCGGTCGTTCCGTATCTTCGGCTATACTCGACGCCGGCTTACGGTGTCTCGGGAATGCTTGCAAGTAGAAACTGGAAAATGTTTATTCTTTTTCTTGGCCAGCTTGTCGCCGATCTTCAAAGCAGACGTCGAGACTTATGCGGGCATAAGAGTTTCCGCGATTAAATAATAAAACGAAAGGTAGACGCTTCTGCAGGATCGAATTCTATTTTATATTTGGAACTTCGGTTTCATGGTTATACAATTGTACGTCCTTCCGTTCCGATGTTTGCAACTTTATTTTCATCCCTTCGATTCGTTTCTTCGTGTACCGCCTGCAGGTGTACATACAAATTAATGCAATTTATAGATTTTCTTTCGCGCCGGTATAAGAATAGACCTTTTTACCATGGAAACGGATAACATTCTCAACGTACCAGAAATCTTGAAAAATCGCAGGACCAGAAGTTACAGTAAAACGTACCGCGATATCACTCGGCACTTTGACTGTGTCGGAATAACTAACGAAGAAAATAAACTCCTATTTAATTCCAGTTTCCCTAACTCCGCCCATAAGCTTGCGTAAACATCCGCAGTCTATCAATTAAGCGGCACGCTTCTTGTAGAAGGTGTTCGAGAAGGAGGTATTTCGTTGTCGCTTCTACCGGTGTTAAACAGCAGTTGTTGAGACTACCATTGCAGTATACCGTGGCTCGAGCAGGGGAAAGGGTTTAACTTTACGAGCCTCGTGTTTTATTGTTCCCTGACGAAAGAAGCCGTTGCGAAGTGGTTGCGATTCGCCGGCATAAATCGAGGCTTCTTGCTGGCCCCTGTTCCGCGTCTCTTAAAATAAGACGCGCGATCCTGCTCGCCATTCGAACCACCAATCATTATTCCGGGTCCGTATCCTTTTTTGCGTCGCGATGATTTACGGGAAACCTCTGATTTGCATGGCAACGGTGCCAGAACAGGCGCAAACTTTTGTGCGTTTCTGTTTCCTCCGGTGGTATCGCGTTTGAAACGTACGGGTCAACTCGAGACGGGGGGGACGCGAAATTTTCCGACTTTTCGCGATTAATCCAGAAGTTTGGACATGTTTTTCCTCGGTCTCGGATTGATACTCGACACCTTTGAACTTTCATTGCACTGTTTGAACACTCTCCGTAGGTCCCGGCGTCGAAGTATTTAAGTTCCGCGCGTGTCGACGAGTCCATTAGCGAGGACAGAGCAAACAGAGCGCACTCTTCCACCTTTCTCATCGATCTTACTCGCATCCCGACCGCCGTATGATTGATATCTTGGTCGTCTTCGGACCTGTCTGGAGATGATTGTTGAATTTCATTCGACTGAAACGATTTATTCCCGCTTGGCGCGGAATACAGTCTAACGGCGAAGCATTATCGAGCACGTTAACCTCGAATCTCTCGGGGGACATAGGTGCCGTAACGGTGTCTAATTGTCTTCTCGATGTTTTCTTCTCCGCCTTCTGCTTCGTTGTGTATTAATATCGGAGCGGTACACGTTGCACGTGTGTACGGAAGGGTTGGAAAGGGTCAGGGAAGCGGGCGGGGACGGTCGAGACGCGCCACGGTCGCGGGTTAATTGATTTCCGATAGCGAGCCTGACCGGCCTTCGGACCCGCGTAGAAGCGAG